GTCCCCCCCAAAGCGTCCCGGTGCCGGTGCGGAGCGGGCACAGCGCGGGGCGAGGGGAGGCAGGAAAGGCAGGGGGAAAGAGAGCAAGGAATCGAGAAGGAGAAGAAAGGAAGGAAAAGAATGAGAGGAAAGGAGGGAAAGGAGGAAGGGAGGAAGGAAAAAAGAAAAGAGAAAAATAAATGAGAAAAGGAAGAAAGGAAGAAGGGAAGAAAGGAAGACAGGAAGAAAGGAAGAGAAAAGAGAAAGAGAGAAGGAAAGAAAGAAAAAGAAAGAAGGGAAGAAAGAAGGAAAGGAAGAAAGAAAGGAAAGAAGGAAGGAAGGAAGGAAGAAAGAAAGAAAGAAAGAAAAAGAAAGAAAGAAAGAAAAGAAAGAACGAGGGGAAAATCCAGAAGGTAGGTATTTGTATGAACGTTCACCTTTTTCTTTTTTTCTTTTTTTCTTTTTTTTTTAAATCTCTATTTGTAACTGGGAATTTTCCTGGACATTTTGGTTCTTTTTCTAATCTCAGATGTAGTAACTTCTTCTATATTTGGAAAAAAAAAAAAAAAGAAGTGTATTTAAGGGTCTAGTTGTCCGTGTGATTTTTTCACTAATCCGGAGGCAGACGATGCGGGAGACCAAGCTTTCCTCTCCAAGTTGGGCTCTCGAAATCCCCAGCACCGGTGGAGGACACTTCTCAGACCTCCGCCTCGGAAACCTTGCACAGAAGGAAAATAGAATTTGTTCGCGGTCTGTCCCTGGGAGCCTGGGGGGTCAGGACAAGGACAGCATATGCTCCCAAGCTGCAGCCTGGGAAGGCAGTATCTGGGGAGCAGACACTCCTGCCTGCAAAGACAGGATCGAGTGACGGCGTGGTGAAGAGGACAGGGCTGCTGGCATCAGAGGTGTAGCTCTGCATTAATATTCAGTTTACCATCTAATGCCCATTTCGGATTAGAAGGAATCCCACTCCTTCCCAACTTAAATCCTCGCCTTGTTCAAAGAGTGATGTCCGGTACTGGCACATTTCAGCCACTTTCGGACAGGCTTGGAAATATTTTAACTATTTAGTGACAGTGATGGGGAAAACCTTATTTAAACAACCCTAGCTGGGCAGTGTTACCTTTTCCTTCCTTCTTTCCTTCCTTCCTTCCTTCTTTCCTTCCTTCCTTCCTTCCTATCTATCTATCCATCTATCTATCTATCTCTCGCTGTAAAAACCCTGCTCGGACGCTGGCTCCAGGTTTGAGCGTGCCTGTGCCTGATGCGGGATTTAATGCCGTGAGGAGTCACAGGAGGAATGTCGCAGGGAGAATTTCCAAAAGCCCCACCAAACCCCCCCCGAACCCCTGGATTTCGGGTTGCCTCTCCGCCAAGGACAGAGCCGGTGGGGATCGAGACGGAAGGTTAAGTGCAGGACGGTTAAGACGACAAATGTTATGTCGGGTTTTAATTTTGACAAAGCCTTATTTATTGGTGAGCTGCTGGCCCCGAGATGATTATTTTTCAGGCACTACAAAACAAACCGAAGCAGGGGCCAGACATGTATTTACCGGAGGGGGAGGGGAAGGGACTTGTTTGCTCTGTGTGTGTGTGCGGGTGCGGGTGTGTGTGCCGGCTGTACGCTTTTTTTATTCCTGCCATGTAAGAATCCGGTTTCCAAATAACAATGGGAGGGTGGGTTTTGGGTTTTTTTTTTCTTTTTTTTTTTCGGTTTTGTTTTTGTTTCATTTTCAAGAAAGGGAAGAGACAAGGAAAAGTCCTAAAGCATCTGCTCTCGGATGCACATTCACAACACACACAGATCGACTCCTCTGCTCCCGCACAAGTGGTTTAAAAGCCCAAACACCGTTCGGGGCGACCGTTCCCTCTTCTCTTTTCATTCTTTTTTTTTATTTACCCCCCCCCAGCCGCGGTGGCCACG